CGAGCCAATTGTGAGGGGTGATCATCAGAGCAATGGAGCTGCTGAATCAACCTTGCAGCAGCTTAGACTGAAAGCAGGGATTCTTATCAACCAGATCGAAGAGGCAGTTGCTGGTGGACGAATCATTTTTCCTTGCACTCATCCCTTATACAATTGGGCATTGTTGCATGCTGGATGGCTTCACAATCGATACGTTGTGAGTGGTGGTACAACTGCATTTGAGCGCTCAGCAGATCGTGTCTACACTGGACGTTTGTGCATGTTTGGTGAAGTTGTTTTGGGTTACATCAAGACAAGTAGGAAGGCTGCACCACGTTGGACCAAAGGCATTTGGGTTGGAAAAGCCCTACCAAATGACAAATGATGGCCACATCATCATTATCCATGCTGAAGGAGTTTTTTGTGACCAGATCAGTGCGGAGGCTGCCAACTCCTTTCGTTTTGGAGCCCTTGGGCGAAATCAAGACATCGCCTTGGGATCATGGATATGCTTCCTTGGGCCATCGAATGCTTTACAGCAAGAACCTTTCTCCACCTCTTGCAGTCAGCATGCCTATGATCGATGTTGATGCAGAACATGTTAAAACCTATGCTGCTACGCATGTTAGTTCAGACTCGGATCGAGAGGATCCGCTTGAGGCGGGGAATGAAACTGGTGAAGCTAAAGCTTCAAACACGGCTGATACAGCCATTGGCAGTGGGTCCATGGATGCACCTGGACCTGCAACTTCTCAAAAGCGTGGAGAGGCAAACAGCCCTGCTTTGCCTGGTAGCCCCAAAATGCAACGTGTTGGAGATGACCGGCCAACAACACCGAGGGACGACACCATGGATCCTTCAGGTGAGCGAGCCCCAAAGACTCCGAGGCTTGAAAATTCTCCAGATCAACAACGAATGCTTCAGGTGACAAGCACTGACCTGAGCCTTTACGAGCACGAAGACTCTCCAGTGAAATTTGACTCCAGCCATGATGATGTTGATGAGATGGAAAAGTATAACATGGAGTTTTATGATGATCAATTTCTTCAGGAGGACGATCCATGTTTGGCTGACGATGCAAACATGTCCAAGATCATGGATCAACTTACTTTTCCTCACTCAGCCAAAGAACCAGAACTGAGTGCTGATGAGCTCTTGCGTTTGGATGCACTTGCAGACCAGCTTGAACTTCAGAGGCTGGAGCGTTTGCAGGTTCTACAGAGCCCTGATGCAGTGCCACCTGCTTGAAAAGTTTTGAGCACTCGATTTGTGCGCACTTGGTGCGAGAAGCACAATTCAAAGGGCGAGGCAATATGGCTGAGGAGATCAAGGTTTGTTGCTCGCGAGTTTGCTTGGTTGGAACCCGAAAGAGAAAGCCTATTCAGTCCAGCGTCTGGCAGTATCATTTCCAGAGTTTTGCCAACAGTTTTCTTGGAGAGACGTGAAAAGGAAAACATGGTGATGGCCAGCTTGGACGTGAGAGATGCTTTTCTGACTGTGAAGCAAGAGCGAGACACCTTGGTCCATACAACAGATGCAAGTGGAACAACTCGCATTTTTTCTTTGGGGAAGGTGCTGCCTGGACAACGTGATGGAAGCTTGCTGTGGTATCGTGCAAGCACTAGCTTCCTCAAATCAAAGCTTGACTTGGAGGAGCACACCCCATAGCCATGCATTCTTCGTTCAAGAGATGGATCTTGTGTGGTGATGATGCATGTTGACGATTTGCTTGTGGTTGGAAAGCGTGACTATGTGTTGGGCAAGTTCCTGCCGGAGCTCAAAGCTTCATATGATATTTCAGTTCAATGCGTTGAGAAGCCAGGTGATGAGCTGACATTTTTGAAACGACAGTATACACTTCATGATGATGGAAGGTTGACAATTCAAACGCATGAGAAGCACATCACCCAGCTTTGCAGTTTGCTTGGATTGAATGTTCGAAACCAGAATAAGAAAAGCCCTGCACATGCTGATATTGAAAAGGAAGATGACACAGCAGACCTTTCATCTTCATCAGCCACGACTTTTAGGACATGTGTTGGTGTTTTTTTGTATCTGGCGAATGATGTTCCACAAGCTCAACATGTCATTCGACATTTGGCCACCTACAGTTCAAAGCCCACTGAAAAGATTTGGACAGTACTTCGACATTTGGTGGGATATCTTTGCAGCCACATGGACATTTGCGTGTCTTTGAAATGGGGTGGAGCAACTGGCATTTTCCATGACTATCCGAACGTGGATCCAAATGAACATGTTTTGGAGGTGTTCGCTGACTCTGATTGGGCTTCAGACTGTGTCAGCAGAAGGTCTGTAAGCTGTTGCATTGTGATGTTTGGGAAGTGCTTGATATACTCAGCATCAAGGACTCAGAAGATCATTTCGTTGTCATCAGCTGAGGCCGAAGTTTACGTTTGCAGCAGTGGAGCCAGTGACGCCATCCTACTTGCCAGGTTGTTGACATGGATCACCAACAAAAGAACCCATATCTACATCTACACTGACAGCAGTGGTGCCAAAGGAATCTTGAATGTTGCCGCATCTTGTGGTTGCAGGATATGGTTGGAAATGGAATGCTGAAGTTATACAGCATCAGCGGCCATTCGAATCCCGCTGACATCGGAACAAAACGTTTAGCTGCCCCGAGAATGAGATCTTTGATGAGTTTGCTTGGTTTGTACAACAGATCAAATGGATGTTTGGAAGGAGCCGATGATCCAGGACGAGTTTTTGTTCGAAGGGTCAACCACAGAGCCCTTGCTGGCGCCTTGAGCCTGATCCAACTTCATTTACAAGGATGTGATTCAACTTTGGAAGATGTCTGTAACCTCTTCATTTTGCTTTTCACCTTGTGTGTTGGAGTTGGAATGATTTGGTTTTTCAATTAGTTTGCAAGAGTTGCAGAGAGCCCTCAAGACAATGACACTCCTGTTTTGGAGGAACCAACTATGAACGAGATCAATGATGACGAAGATGGGTCAATCAGAATGTCCCACATTGGTGCTGCAATCATCGCTGCCAACAGCGAGTTTCCTTCGAGCAATGTTGCAAGCTCGAGCACGAGCATTCGAGATCCAATTGAGATGCCTGTTTTGAGAGACGAAGGTGATTTGCCAGAGCCCTACACTGCATGGAGCCCTGAAGCAATGCTTACCTTTATGCCTTTATGTATTCAAGGTGTTCGCGCAGAAAATCCACAGCAACTTCGTTGGAACGACAGCAACTGTATGAAGAGCGACTTCAATTGCTTTGCAACGTGATGAATGCTTGTAAGTCTGGAGACCAGTCAACTAGACTGTCAGCAGCTGTCATGACCAGGAACATGACAGACCTTTCAAGCGATGAGGAGTCTCCAAACTATGGCCAAAGCTGGATCCAGTTGTGCAACACCATGGATGAGGTTGAACATGCAGTGGAGATAGGTCAAAGACTTTCTGACGCAGTTGCAATGGAACGAGATGCACCTGCGACTTCAGGCAGTTCTCATGTGGATTCAATTGCACGTGCCTTGATGGAAAACATTGACAATCCCCCGATGGACGAAGCTGAAGAAAGCGAGGATCAAGATTCAGACGAGATGATGGAGACAGAATCACAAAGAGCCTTCAGGTATGGAAACTCTGAACTTTGCGAAGTCAGTGATCCAGAAGCCTGGATGGTTATGCATCACGGCAATGTAGAAACTTCAGAATCCGAGCAGATGGAGGACGATGCAGAGACATAGCCAGATAGCATAGGAGTTTCAAAAGGTGAATCTGACAGTGACTCCAAAGGAGTCCAGCAAGTAGAGGCACGCTACAAACTGCGTCCCTGCAGCAGTACTCAGACACCTTGGAATTCAGAATTTTCCTTAGGGATTTACCATTTCAACTCTGTGCTGTTGAACTAGAGTAAACAGCAAGGCGGGGTGCTTCATGTTAACGCTGTCAGCAGTACATCCAATTTGCGTTGTGGAGCACTCAGCCATGTGACATAGCAGGCGTAGTATCTGTTCATATCTGAGGCGCTTGTTTTCTCAAGCAAAAGTTGCAGGTACAGGTACTTCAGCATCTGCACTGCCTCTCGCTGTAGCGCTTCTTGGGGATCTTGATCTCGTTCCATCGCCAAAAGGATCTGCGCGTCGATGTCCATCGTCTCCATCTTCTTCTGGAAGATTGTTTGCTGCACCGTGACATCCTCCCAATGAAGTTCGTCTCATCGGAAGTTGTGGTGCAACATGGTTGGAAACGAGTGATGCTGAAGGAGAACCCGATGGTGGAAGTGGAGAAACTGCTGAACGTGCTGCCGAAGAAGAAGAAGAAGAAGAAGAAGAAGAAGAAGAAGAAGAAGAAGAAGAAGAACCAATGGTGGTGGCACGACCGAGCCCTACTGAGGCTGGTGGATTTGACTACGAAAGCGATGACTGAAGAAAACCATAGGAATAGCCATAGAAATATACATAGCCATTTTGGCAAAGACCAAATGTGTTGGTGCTGTCGATGTAAAGAAAGGACAGGAATCATCTAAACGAAAACTCCTGAGGCGGGGTGTCAAAGATTAGCAGTAGCATGACCCTGCGCCATAGGGCAAGTATGTGCATGACCCTGCGCAAGGATGACACAGCACAACATAACATAAAACAACAAACATCAATATGGTGCTGCATAGTGGCTCGAAAGTGACACAAAAAGTGAGACTTGGATTTTGAGAAAACATGATGTTTTTGTCCTAGGAAGTTGACCTGACCACAACGACCACGATGACAAAGTGATTCTGAATAGTAAATGATTTCCCTAGAAACCGTTGAAATTGTGGTTGTTTTTGAAGTCACTGATGGTGAATGGCCGAGGTTGTGTTCTGTTGGGTTCGTTGGCCAACACTTTTTCTGTGCATATGGCTGTCAACATTTTGCATATCATTTTCAATCTGATAATGTGTTCAAACATTTGTAATCAAAACTTTGCTTCGTTTCTGCACTGCTGATATTTGAGGCCGTTTTCACGGACACGTTTGAAATTCACTGTCCAGGGAACCAAATTCCGAAGCTTTTGGGATCTTAGCGAACCACAAAAGTTTGGGCAAAAATTTAGTGGATTCCGTGATGGCTGCTACGGACCACACTGCGGAACAGCTCTCGTTTTTGGAATTTTGTGGTCATTTAGGTGTATGGGTATGATTCAAATTTGAAGGTTTTGGCACCAACATATGCTGGTCATTTTCAACAGTAACCTGCCTCATTCTTAAGATACCCAACTTTGACCCATGTCCATGTGAAGGATAAACCACCACTGAATTCATCAAGGGTGTTTTTCACCTGGTGTCACTTATTTTGGGGATGGCAAATTTAAGGATTTTTTTAAAAATTGTTTTCTGAACTCAGGTTTCGCACCCGACTGAGAAGAAAACTCGCAACAGAAAATGTTGAGTTATGGTTCGCATTTGTGGTGACGGACGGATTTTGGTTCATCACAACCACTTAGCAGGACATAGCACCACTTTGTTGGTCGTTTCCCAGTGCACCTTGCGTCGATGCAGGATGCATTTGCAGCTTTGGACGCCAACAACGATGGTGTGTTGAGCCGGGAGGTGAAACCCCGAGAATGACAACATAAAAAAATTGGAAAAACAAGAGTAACAATTTTGGGTACCATGAAAAACAACATATTAATCACCAAAAAGTCGGCATTCTTTTTGGATGACATTTTGGACGTGAGACCTGTGGCAGCAGGAATTCCAAGCAGCGATGGAGCAAACTGTGCCTGTAGCAGCGGCGGTGACCTCAGTTTGTCGCAATCTGGTCCACTAATGTGGGGTTGGCGAGCCGATTTGCGAGGCCGCCTCCGGAACCTTGACTTACACGACTGGGCAGCCCATGACCTATGCTGCAGGCCAGCCGATGACATACACCGGGCAGACCATGACCTACGGCTCTGCTCCCATGATTTACACTGCACCACCAGTGTACATCACTGCTCCTGCAGCTACCACTGAAATGGCACCAGCATATGCAGCCGCACAGCCAGCTCCTGTGACAGCAACTTACACTGCGCCACCAGTGTACATCACTGCTCCTGCAGCCACCACTGAAATGGCACCAGCATATGCAGCCGCACAGCCAGCTCCTGTGACAGCAACTTACACTGCGCCACCTGTCTACGTGACAGCTCCTATGGCCAGCACCGAAGCTGCCCCAGCAGGCACTGTGAGCTCACTGTCCCAGCCAATGACCTATGCTGCAGCCCCTCAGGCAGCACCCCCCGTCACTGCTACCTACACTGCACCTCCAGTGTATATCACTGCTCCAGCAGCGACGACCGAGGCTGCCCCAGCAGCCACAAGCTCAGTGACAATGGGAACTCCGGTCACGGCATACACTTCGGCTGCGCAGCCTGTTCCCGTGACTGCAACCTACACTGCTGACCCAGTGTACCTGACCGCGCCTGCAGTGACCACCACGACAATGCCTGCGATGACAAGCTCTGCTGCGATCCCTCAAACTATCTCTTCAGCAGCTGTCCAGCCAATGACGTTTGCTAGCTATGCTTCTCCTCAACCATCCATGATTTATGCTGCTCCTGCAGCTGCCCCAGAACCAGTTCCACAGCCCATGATTTATGCCGCTCCTGCTGCTTCTCCTGAACCGGTGCCGCAGCCAATGACATATGCCGCACCAGTTGCAGTGCCTGAGCCAGCCCCTCAGCCAATGATCTATGCTGCTCCTGCTGCCGCTCCTGAGCCGGTGCCACAGCCAATGACATATGCAGCCCCAGCTGCAGTGCCTGAGCCAGCCCCGCAGCCGATGATTTATGCTGCTCCTGTAGAGGTACCGGAGCCGACGCCAGCACCTGTGCAGCCTATGATTTACGCGGCTCCAGCTGCGGCCCCTGAGCCAACTCCAGAGGCCTCACAGCCCATGATCTATGCAGCCCCAGCATCTTCAGTACAGGCTGCACCCATCTCCACCGTGGGCGGAAGCTCAGCTGCGATGGTGCCACAAACAGCTTCACCCACCATGACCTTCAATTCCGCCCCTGTGCCCATGCCTATGACGGCAACATACACTGCCCCAGCACAGTATGTCACAGCACCAGCTGCCCCCACAACCACCATCAGCACCATTGGCTCCGCTGCTCAGCCCGTGTCTTCCGCGACAGCAGTGCAACCAGGCACCTACACCACTGGACAGCCGATTGTTTACAGTTCCCAACCTGTGACATATGCTGCACCACAGACTGTGCTTGCTCCACAAGTGGCCACAGCACCTGTCCAGTATACCACGATGGCTGCAAGCCGCACTTGGGTGCCTCAAGCCCAAACGCAGTACACAACTGCTCCTGTGCAGTATGTGTCAAGCACTACAGGTCAGACAGCAGCCTGGTTGCACAAGATTCCTAGTGTTTGTACTTAGATTTGTACTTTGGAGTTTGGTGACTGAACATGGGATGTCAACACATACAAGCTTGGTATCTTTACATCATCAACACCCCAAGGACCTTTTCGCGAAGGCCTGAACCCTACAAAGTGCTGCAGAGAAAGCCGTTTCACAAGTTTGATCAATGGAGAGCTTTGTTTTGCCGAACACAATAGTTCTACGAAGCAATGTTTGCATCGCTGGCTCAGCACTAAGTTGGACACCAATGGCGATGGAACGTTGTCCCGAGAAGAGTTTGCTGCTGCGATGCCTCAGTGAAACGATTGGCGGCCTGGGGTCCTGGATGCTCCGTCCATTCTTTTGATGTGGTGTTTTTTATCGTTTTTCCAGTTCTGTGAAAATCTGTGAGTTGTGTCCTTTGTAGACTCGCAGCGACTTGCAACTTCACTTGCAGGGGTAGCATTACAGCTGTATTTTCAAATTTTCCAAATGGTGGTCTCTCATTCAGTGACCTGCTCCGAGGTCTCGTGTGGTGGAGGCGAACGCTGCGGTCCAAAGCTTGAAAGGCTGTGGACCAGGGGACATGAGATGATGTGAGCGTGGGTTTGCCCCACTAATGACAATATTTCTATATGTATGTATATATAATAACGTCTAGCTGAAAATTACGTACGTTGAGGTATCGCAGGAAGTTTCTGCAACATTCTGAAACTTGGGATCCTTGGCCTTGCAACATCAGGCTCTTTCCAAGTCAATCCCTGAAGTGTTCAAAGTCCGTGAATTGGCCACTTGTCAACTCGAAACGCCGCTTACGATTTGAGGACCTGGACAAACGATTCAGCCCTTGTGTAGTCACATATTTTGGCTCAATTATGATTGGAAAGGAAGCCATCTAATATTCAAGAATTGCAATCTTGAAAGGTGATTCACCCAGTTCTGATTTTCTTTACTTGCCTTTGTGTTGCAAGAATATACAAGACCCGATGCGCCTGATTGTCCTGTTTGGGGACTTTCGGGACGAGAAAATTTCGCAAAGGGATGACATCAGTCAGTAGTCTTTCGTTTCAAACACATTTTGCAAAATCCAAGATGCCCTTGAAGAGTCATCAGCCCAGCTGGTGATGTGCGGCCAGGCTCGATGATGCTGCAGATTGAGAGACCGTCTTGGCGCAGCCTCCGGTTTTGAAAGTCAATGAGAGAGTAACAGTGACAGAATGCATTCAAGTATATAGGACGTAGAGAAGAAATGTGCTGTGGACATGTAGTATACGATCAATGTCATACATATTTTATTCATATTTATGTTTCATACATTGTACATATTGTTTCGAATGGGCAGCTTGGACACTTCTTTAAGTGTACCACTACCCTATTCTGATTATGAAAGAATCCAGACTTTATACAATTGCAGTGATGGTTTTGGACCAGCTACGCTTAGTTCCATGTTGATGACTTCTTTTGATGGTACGCAATGGCAGCCCCGAGATTAGGAACTCAAGCTCTGCCCCATAGGGGTTGATGGGGTGGAGCTTTTGGAGGTTGTGCACCTCTATGGATTCTATTGATTGATATACTGAAAACATATAGTGAAGACTGCCAACTGCGCGCAGAAAAACTTCAAAAGTTCTGCGAAGCAGTTGGGTTGAGTCTGGAAAATGAAAGAAGGATAAGAAGGACAAACTTTTGGAAGGCGATGTGGACACTGCAATGAATTGTCCCCAAATTCAACAGATCGTTTTGATCGTCTTGTCATCCCAACAGAACGTGTTGGGTTTCCAAGATCTTTTGATGTTTGGCATCTAGACTTACCCACTCAAGCAAAAACTGAGTTGATTGGTTGTTTTCATCCAGAGAAGAAGGTTAATCATCATGCAACATTGGTTGGCAGTGGTTCGGAAGAAAATGAATGCTTTCCATTCCTGTTTCAACTTGGGGAAGACGGACTCCACTTGACTGATATTTTTGGAATGGTTTCAAGTCGATCAAAGATGAGCGTGTAGCCTCCCACAAAGAGATCAAAGAGATGGTTTTCCCACCTTGTGGGATGGCCATCATTGTACAAGTAGCGAACAAAGGTGCATGTTGGAGAATCCCTGTCCACACGCAAATGTTTTGGCTTGAATGAAGAACAGTTGGAACATGTTAGATAATGATTCAAATGAACTAGATACAAACAGATCAGGTTTTCTTGTTTCCTCATTTGAACATTTAGTCGGAATCCATTTCAAAGAGACCTTGTCATGTGGTTGCGAGATTGAATATGTTTCAAATGGTTTAACCGAACACGTCTCATGTAATTCAAGTCTTCGAGCAGTACAAAGCTGATTTGACACGCTTTGCATTCATGATCTACTTTTGCCTCCCTGCTCTTGCTTGATTTGGGGCATGGCGGATTGAAGATCCATTTGTGGCACTGATTGTGTGGTCTATGATGGCTGCATCCCAGCTGCGGTGCCAACCAATGGAGGACACTGACCTGATGATTTTCTTTTGCTCTTTTGCTCTGGACACCCATGATCAGTTGCTTCATGATCTGATGGGTGGCCGTTTACGAATGTGGACTGAAATAAATCAGGAGTTATGGTGACGGCATGCCCTTGGTAGCAGGCCAGAACTTTGGTGGTTGACGATCGGATTCAGTATGCGTATTTTTTGACATGGATAAGAAACAGGTTCGAGTTGAAACCATCACATCTCAAGTCTAAAGTTCATTGGAGCACTCACCAAGCACTTGCAGTCAGCGCCTCGCAACCTCCAGCATCAAACCTGCAAAATGCCTTGGGCAAATCGATCGCCCGCAAGCAGGTGACTGTTTGATATTGATCTTTTCCAGCACATTTTTGACAAATTCGAGTCCCGAGGCAAAGGAGGTCGGGCAGCGCCAGTGTCGTTAATGCCCGTGACGCGTGCGGTGCTGCTCACCAAAGAGGTCCCTGAAGTGGATGATGTGGGTACCTGGTTGTTTCCTCTTGAAGCCATGGCCTCAATCTCAACAATGCAGACCTTAGTGAAGATGAAGGGCAAACTTCTCAGGGTAATTTGCTTTGGGGATCGTGAGTAACTGGTTAGCACCCCTGGTTGATAAGTCCTCTGTACTGGGGTCATTATACTATCCCATTTGCAGCTTGTTTGCAACCATAGCTACGGTGTACTAGAAAAGAATCGTCCAAGTGGATAGGACTTGGAGAACTTCCACAACAGTGCTCTGAACAAGGACTTGATTTCCAGCGTTTGAGCTTTCTGTTCTCTCACTTCTCTGAGAAAGTCTCTTGACACCCAGATCAGTTGATGCCCTATATCGAAGAACATCCTCCCAAAGCTGGCTAATTTCTGTTGGTATTTGACGATGTCATCGGTCTTGTGCCAGTTGATCCAAGTACAAATCAGCCTGTTGTGGCCCAGCACGCCAGGACTCTGTGGGTTCCCTGCTGCCTCTGGGGTCTGGGGTTCCTGTCACATCTGCTCCCGCCTGAACCTGAGCAAAACAGCGGCCAGGTGGAGCATGGCCAAAGATGGCCTAGGGAAAGGACTCGGAAGGTAAGGAATGGCAGCGTTTCTTCTAAATCGGGTCAAGCCGTGCCCATGTATGAATCATGGTTTCCAAGGCTCCGTCGACGGCACAAGGTGTGGAGTCGTGGAATGCTGGTTGCCTTCCTTGAGGGTGGAAGGCTATCCAAGAAAGGTCTTGTTGCATGGCTAGGGATGCTAGGGTGGCTAGGTGTTGATGATCTTGGTGGATGTGTCCAGGGATTCCGGGACACCTATTGGTTGCCGGGGGGTGCCACGACTTCAAGCTCCTCCTGTAAGTCTGGTCTATCCCCACTGAACATCCAAATATGCTTTGTTCAAGTCTATTCAAATTTGTGCATTTTTGGGGTTTTCAGTTTTCAAAATTTGAATATTTGATGTATTGCCGCATTGCCTGCCATTTCAGGTGGTTGCACTCCATGAACTTGTCGAAAATAGACCCATTCTCGTTGCCTTTGAATGACCCCTATCATTATTTTTGCTTCAAAAGGTGCTAGCTGCTGTTGTTTGAGTCCAAAACATCTGTGGCATCTCCAAGATATCTTCAAGATATTTGCGCTTTCGCTACGACACAACGAACGAACACCATGCGACACACCCATGGTGGACCTGGAGGCCCTCCTCCCCTGTGGCCACCGCCTCCTCGCAGGAGGACCAGGTGGGTCTGGGAGGTTTTCTGCGGCCATGAAAACATGGAGAGATATGGAAAGATACAAAAAATACAGTAAATGAGATTTTAGATGATTTTAGATATTTTAGATGATATATATATATATATATAATTAGATGGCTTTAAGTTTTAAGACTATTGGATGGGATGGAAAGAATGGAAAGGGGTTACCCAATTTTAAGACAGAACCTGATGTTTTGGGACTTTTTGTCTGGTTTCGTCACCTTCTTTTTTTGGAGAAATCCCCACATTGGTTTTATTACATACTGTAGCCAGCAAGCCATAATTCGCCAGGTTGGAAGACCAAGTAATCAATACGCTTGTTATCAACTTGATGACAATTACTACTATTGTCTATTGTTATTATTCTTACTGACTAGACTATATTCTAAAGGTTCTATGTAGCTTTGCCATATTGAAGATGGGACAATCGGCTGGTCTAAAGCGATGCTCTTGGGCTTTCAGCAGGAAGTTTCTCAGAGAATCACCAGCAGAATGGCAATCTCCATTCATACCAATCTGGCTTTTTGGTCTGCCAAATTTCCTGGCGAGCCATTAGAATGCGCCATTTGTCTTGCGCAATCCCACGGTGAAACTGTTGTGCCATTGGGCGATGGGCGCCGGCGCATCCTTGGCCAAAGATTCGCTCAGCGATGCCAGCGATGCGCAGATTCGCTCAGCGCTGGGCGAGCTGTCGTCGGCTGAATGGGCCAAAGTCCATGAGGCAGCGGCCAACGGCGCTGGGGACGCGGCCCATTGGGTCTGTCGCAATTTCTCTATCCTCCATAATTAAATGCGGTCATTTAAAGATGTAATCTATAATAATAGTTATATAATTGGAAGAATGAGGGTTTCAACCATCAATTTTGGGCTACTCTGTTTTTCAAATAGACCCATTTGCGAGATTTAATGAGTTATTGTTTTGGAGCTTTTAGCTTCTTTCCCTGGTTGATGTCCAAACCTGAGATTTCAATTCACAGCTGGGGATGAATCAATCACTTTGTGATTGGTTGATAACCTGGCTTGATCTCATGGTGCTCAACACTGGCGGATAGCATGGACTTTTGGATAAATAGATCAACAATACGGGTTAGACAACGAGTAGCTATTGTAATATAGTATGGATAGGGTGCTAAACTCCTGGTGGTTGATGATGGTGCGGTCAAAACCAGTTTCATCCGGATTCCTGTATATATATATATGCGCAAGTCACACGCACACACATTATTTTACATTCTAAATATATGTTTGTACACGAAACACACACACACATATAATAACAACATTCTTACATACACGTCATACACACATATGTATGTATATTTATATAGATATACAATATATATATATGTATATATATGTATACATAAATACACATATTAAACGTCAGAATATACAAATATGTAGATATATGTATATATATATACAATGTATGTATATATATATGTCATATCATATGTGTATGGTGAGCAATCCCTGAGCGGCAGCCATTAGGGCCCGTTGTCCGGGTGCGTCCCGTGGCCAGAGGAAACCATTCGTTGCGGTTGTGCTCAGCCATCTAGGGTTGGCAAATGAACCACCTTAGCATCCACTCACATGTACGATATACATATGCACACGTCATCTCTCTCTCTCTATATATATATTTCTATATCTATATATCTATATACACGTCATATGCATATATACATATATATATATAGTATATTATATATGTATATATATATAGTACATATGAACGGGCTCCTGATCCCCCATCAAACATCTAGCCTGATGATGGGGCGCCTATGACGTCATCTTCCCAGCCGAAAGTCACAGGCCTTAACCTTGGCATCTGCAGCAGCTCCAGTGACGTCCGCGACTGATGTGGTGGTAGCGGCGGGGGAGAATGAGGATGGAGTGGATGAAGCCTTGGCTCAGGACATAGAATTCTCTGAACATTGTGGAGTGTTCCAACATTCGGACGGTTCAACGGTTAAACACCTTGACCATTTGATTTTTCGCACCTCAATGTCAGACACCTTGATTCCGAAGTCAAGCAGCGAAGTTGTTCAGCTGCAGGAATTGGCAGAGCAGGAGAAGCTCTTTCTGAAATGTTTGCGGAAACGTGCTGAACGGGAAGCGAAAAAGAAGTTGGAGAAGGAGCAGAAGAAGGCTGCGGCAAAGAAATTGAAAGAAGATGCTCGCCTGTGGATTAGTGGAAGCCAGGGGGCTCAAGAGCCTAGCTACTCAGTGGATCTCAGTGGTTTCGTAATGGAAATGCACAGGGGTTCAGCCATTTGGTTTCCTGGAACTCAGTATCAAAGACATGGGTTGGTAGTTCATTGGTGATTCAAAAAAGATCAGGAGCTGCCTGCCAATCCCTGGTGTACGAAGGAAGCTATGGAAGCTGCGTTCGACAACGAATTGGACGTCCTTCTCAAGCTGTTTGATCAAGGACCCCATCCGGTATCGAACCAGGGGTAGGCTCCTGTTGTTTGGGTGGATGCTGCCAAAAACAGTGGGGAGGTGGACCCAGTGCAAATGGAGCACTTATTCATATCTATCTTGCACTTTATCAGATATATCAGGATGCCGCACTGCAGGACCTGTTTGCATTTTGTTTCTGTGACTGGTTGTAGATCCCATTTCTTGTCCAAGTCAAGTGAAGGAGTGGAACCCGAATGTGCTGATGAGCATGGAACCACCCTTCTGAGCGAAGCATGCGCTGGAAACGCCAAGGCTCTGAAGAGGATGCAGATCTGTAAATCTGTCAGCGTGTATGATTGTTATCATTGCAATCCTCACACTTGCTCATCTAGTATTTGCGAGCTGTTTCTTCCTACACAAGATTGGACTTGACTGTTGGGAGCTGGGGATTCTCTCTCTCTCTCTCTTTTTCCGCATCTTATCGCATCTTAACGCACCATGATTTTCGAGACAAATGTGTGAGAAAGGATGAGATATCCATGAATCCAGCTGCCACAGGAAGTTGTCGAGATGCTGTTGGGGGAAGCCTGCGAGCCTGGGCTGGTTTGTTGCGAGCTACGGTTGGTTGACCCAATTTTTGATAATTTTTGCAGTGCACGCAATGTTGAAACAACATGATGCCAGAGCATTTGTTGAATGTAGATTCCTTTCTTTGGTTTCCTCGGGCTGATGTTCTTTTTTCCCCCCTGAGGTGAAGACAATAGTTGGAATCCCATTCGATGGGTTTTGTTGCAATTTTGTCATTGGAACTGGATTCAGAACCGGGCTTGCTTCAGGATCCCAATGCCATCGGCCGCTATCATCGATCCCCTCTGTGGCGAGCAGCTTATGCTGGAAATGAGGAGCTCATTCGCATGCTGCTGCGTAGCGGTGGAGATCCCAGGGAGTGTGACGAACAAGGACATGGGGCGCTGACGGATGCGTGTCCCAGTTGGTATGTGGTGAAAATGGCATGGTTGGCTCGGAGTTGTACTTGGGAAGTATATGTATGTATAAAATACACATACTGTATGTATATATATATATGTATATACATACATACATACATACATACATACATACATACATACATACATACATACATACATACATACATACATACATACATACATACATACATACATACATACATACATACATACATACATACATATATATGCGCATATTTTAAGTATATGTATGTTATATATATATTTGTGTATATATATATGCGCATATTTTAAGTATATGTATGTTATATATATATTTATGTATGTTATATATGTATATATTTATGTATATATATATTTATGTATATATATATTTATGTATATATATATATATGTGTATATATATATATTTATGTACGTATATATATATATATATGTATATATATATATTTATGTATATATAAATATTTATGTACATAGATATATATGCGTGTGTTATATTACATTCTCATTTTTATTCATTTTTGTAATCTATGTGCAATCATTGTGTTGAGTCAGTATGTAGTAAAGTAATTGCAGAATTTTCGGGACTGGTTAGGGACTGGTTATCGTAAACTGGGGCCTCATCGTGTAGATGGTCCCCATACCGTTCCATCCTCCACTCTCAGACAAAGCCACTTCAAAGATAGATGATGTGTTCATCAGGTATCTGGTATCTGGTGTGATAATCTATGGTCAAAGGAAGTTTGAAGGTCTAACTTCCGAGGTACAGATTTTACAAATCTATTCACCACAGCCAAGAGATCTCACAGCCAAGAGATCTCTCAGCCAAGAGATCTGTCAGTCAAGAGATCTGTCAGCCCAGAGATCTCACAGCCAAGAGATCTCACAGCCAAGAGATCTCACAGCCACAAGATCTCTCAGCCAAGCCAAGAGATCTCACAGCCAAGAGATCTTTCACAGCCAAGAGATCTTTTACAGCCAAGAGATCTCACAGCCAAGGGATCTCGCAGCCAAGGGATCTCACAGCCAAGAGATCTCACAGCCAAGAGATCTCACAGCCAAGAGATCTCACAGCCAAGCTTCGTTTTCACATCTTCCACCCAGATTTTGAGGAAGTCTCGCACGAAAGCTTCGTTTTCACATCTTCCACTTTCACTTTTTGAGGGAAGTCTGGCACGAAATCCTTGTCTGAGATATAGCGGATGCACGAAATGCTGTGTTTTGTAGGACAAAACGGGTTCCGGAAGATGGATGGGGAAGCTTGTCCGGCGGACGGTTTCGGAACACGCTCGTTTGTGCCGGGATCATTCTCGGATCGGCCGCGCGTTGGAACTGCCAGTTCAGGCGTCATTTTGACAACTTGAACTTTCGAAATTTGAAGGAAGTCTCGCATGAAAGAAGTCTCGTACGAAAGCTTCGTTTTCACATCTTCAGCCTTCACTTTGTGAGGGAAGTCTTGCACGAAAGCTAGAACAACTGATGGGAGATGAGATGTGTTGACATGAGATGAACAACCATGAAATACTACAAGAGAGCAAATTGATTTCGAAGAAAATGAAATTACATCAAATAAGCTGAGATAAGATGACATGATGACATGAGCTGCGAAGAGCTGAGATGAGGTGAAAAACTCAGAAGACATGAGATGAGTTGAGATGAGATGGGATGGCACAGACTGTGGTGACAGTGGGATGCAGTGAGCATCTTCCAAGAGAAGCTGCGATGCGATGAGAACAGATGAAATGAGAAAAGATTCAACATTCGAAAGGCATGGCATCAGATTGAAAGTCAAGAGCTTGTTGCTGCGATGCACAGGAGGCTTCACCTGTAGGCACAGCCTTGGCTCCGCCCTAAATGCTATAAGCGTTTCAGATTTGAAGCTTCCGCCCCCGCCTTGCCCGAGAGCGACTTGTAAACTATGACAACCTATGATCAACGTATGATAATCAATGGTGACTACAATGACATCCACAGATTGTCTCTGGATTCTCATAGGATTCTTCTATGATATCATCATCTATCATAGTAGAAAATCATAAACAATCTATCATAGATCTCATAGGACTCTTTCAGGAGCTCGTCCCATCGACGTGGCCAGCAACGCGGCCTCCCGGGAGTATCTGCTGACTTGGGATCCGGCCTCGACAGATCGGATCAAGGAGGACAAACGGAAAGCGGCCAAAAACGCGGAGAAGGAAGAGACACTGGGATTAATGTTGGTAAAACAGGGTAAAAGTAAAACAATGCCATCAACCATCCCCAACACCATAAAGGTTGGATGGTTACCATTCACAAATGGGTGGTTTATTATTGTTTTACTGTACCCCCATTAGTGGGATAATCCATGGATTAGTGGATGATTAGTGGATTAGACATGATTAAACATTTCCAAACTTCATCCGATTAGTGGATCCTGATGGTTTGAATGGGATACAATGAACGATTTTTTGGGGATTGTATTGGGACAATATTGGGGATATCATGGGATATAACTTATAACGAGATGATGGTTGGTCATAAGGTTTTTGGATATTGACTCTTGGGGAATATCAGATGGTTACAAAAATAGGTTCAATGATATTATGATCTGTACTTTGTTGATTCGGTTTTGGTCATGTGGTGAATGACAGTGATGCATTTGTACTCTGAATTTAGAAAGAGGAACATATTTGGAATTGATAGAGGGTTTTCATCCCACGAATGAGGAAGGAGGGAACACTCTTTGTTTAGCAGGAAATTATTGACCTCCACGCAGTTGATGGAAAATGGATCAAATTTGTGGTTCCTTTGGTATAAAAAATATTGTCAGCCAGCTGTTTTCTGATTGTTTTGAGGAACGCAACTGGTTGTCGGTGATGCTGTTCCTTCGGTTCACTTCTTCTCTGACGCATTTTTGTCAAACAACTTTTTACCACGAACTTGTTTGATTTGCCTTCTTTGTTCTTTGTTCTCTTCTCTTTGTCGTCGCTGTTGCTGTTGCTATTGCTGTTGCAGAGGCAACTGCAGGCTTTGAGAGCCAGATTGTTCCGTAGTTCCGGCTCTTCTCGCATCTGCCTTCAGGATTTTCAGCTTTAGAAAAGGAAAAACCGCAGGTCCAGTGGCGGATCTTGATGTTCATTTTCGAGCTTATCCTGACAGTCTACCACCCTTTAGGATTGGGTCAATCAGAAGGGCAACTTTCCCTTGGATAAAGGTTTCCCAAAGGATGTTGCAAGCCTTCGCAGTAATCTTCATCCCGAGGAAGGCGAAGTTCCAGCGACAGAAACAAGAATTGTCAGAGTCACTGGAAGAATCCGAGCGCAAGAAGCAAATCTCCAGTGGCTTGCCCTGCGGTCCTGCGGTCCTGCGGTCCTGGGGCTGTGGGGGGATGATCTGGTGAACTGGGGGCTGGGGTGAAAGATGGTGAAGGTATCAGAGATTTCTGGGGATTTCCATAGGTCCATAGGTCTTTGATCACTGATTTGTGCTTGGATCTTTCAAATCCGAGCCGTTTCTGGAAAGATGAGCCATGGTGATTACCATGCCAGGATGGGCTCAATCTGAGGAAGTGAACTCTTTCGTGCCAAGAAGCTGTTGGCCGACTACCGCCAGCAGAAGGTCTTCTTTGCCGAGCAAGGTGCCGTTTTTTTGATGGCCGAAGACAGGATCCTTACAATGACCGATGTTGTGGGTTTATTGGGCCTTGGCATTTTGACCCATACCCATTTATGATATTCCATCTTCAGACAGTGGTACACTCCAGTTTTAGACAAACCCATATAAGTATATGGACTCAGAAAACTGGTCATTTCCAATTCTAGTATTTCAGCATATTTAATCATCCCATCTTGAGGTTTTCCTGATTTTCCATGCCAAGAAATGGGCCGATGATGATCGAAATGGAGCCATCCCAACAGTTTTGGAATCCTAAAATTCCACGTTTTATCATCATTGTCGCGAGTAAAACTGTAGTTTTGATCCGTTTCCCGGGGTACATGTGTGCACACACACACATATATATATATATATCTGTGTCTGTGGGCACATCATGAGGTGTTTATCCAATGTTGGATCCCGTGTGAATGATTTGCTATCCCTAAAAACGGGGAGCTCATGATTCTGAATGGCAAAAAAAGGTCGTTATCATCATTTTCCCACTAGAATTGCAGCTTTCACCATTGAGCAATTTCTCCCACAAACAAGCACACTTTTTCTTGTCAACATGGGTTTTCCTCATAGCCGAAGTCCGTTTGAACATGCAGTATACCGCAAAAAAAAGCAAAGATTTATAGCATGGGGTAACATCGAAAAAGTGGGATATGAACCAGCAATCATGGATTTCCTCATCATTTTCCCATGACAATGGGACAATGATCCCTTCTTTTTGACTTCTGTGATGTCTTGCCAGGTCAGGCAGAGAAGATTGCTGAGCTGGAACCCTTGATTGAGGGGGCGGAAGTGCTTGGGTGACATTGAAAGGGGCCGGAGTGGATGGGGGGATTCTTGGTGATAAAGGAAGGAATTCATAGTTTGAATAGACACACATACATATATATATATAAATGTGTGAACATCTGTTCTATATAAAGACATATGATTGAACATCAATTTCTACCCATGAAAAATATCCGAAGTGCTTTGGGGTCTGAGGAAAATCGGCACCCGTATGATTCTGGAGATGGTTATTATATGAAACTGCCATCTCCAACTTAATTCGACGACATAGTGAACATATGTGATGATCCCGAAGATGTTCGGAATTTTAGTACCCTAATCCTAGGATAGTAACTGTCAAATTACATCACTATTCTTGTTAATCAGATTAGTTTGATCCCGAATTTTACAGCTTACTGGTTGCATCCATTGCTTGGTTGGATCCAGATTTTGGCATATTTTAGCTGCTTCTTTACCCCTTTTTTTATCCGTTTTTCCCCCAACACCACATGGTAGCCCCGAAGTTGTTCTTTTGCCGAGGCGTCGGTGAGGCTCTACGAATCCTCAGTGCAGGAATGGGACTGGAAAGCTTCCCGTGCCCGGTTGAAGATGAACGACCTGGAAGAAGCCAAGAAGGAGCTGCTGCGACCCCCAGTTTGTCATTAAGGGGGTAGCAAGGTAGCAATCTTAATACTGGCTAGTAATCTAGAACACGATTTTGGTGGGGACCCCCAATTCATAGTATAGGTTACCTATAGGTTCATTAATTCCAAGTTGACCATGGATTTTGTGTTTTTGGATCATGGCACCCTGGATCTTATAGCCAGGGAGTTGATGATGCAAACTTCAACCGATAACAAGTGGCTGACCGAATCGATTGACATTGAAATATCGCTGCACTAGTGAAATCAATTTTGGCTATCTATTGCATGGGGCCGCGATTTTTTGTCTATCACCAGTTGATGCAAGGCAAAGGTGAAAGTACGCAGCAAAATATCGCTAGTAAGGGCGTCTAGTTGTGTTGATAAGTAAGTGGGCCGGTCTGTTGAGCCAGTTCAAGGGAAAGCTTGCCGGAAAACTCCAATATTTGATGGGAAACCAGGTACCATGGATTCCTGAAAGCTTTTCCGCATAATAGCCCCCTAAATTATACTCCCTCTTTCAAGCCCTTTAAGCTATGACTGTATATATCCGTGTCTGGTGGTTAAGACTATCATTTTCGATCGTTAATTCCCAACATTATCAATAGTTAAATCACCGAGTTGGCATCCGTGTGATTGTTGGGCAAAATCCATTATTGCTGTTTATTATCCCCATCATTGTTGCTGGTCCGTATCCTTATTCATTGCTGGTGATTTTCCCCAAGCGGGAAAGCATTAATTTCCCATTCATATTCCTACTTTTAACATCGATCCTAACCTTTAAAGCCCGCGCAATTCCCAAGGGTTCTTGGGAGATTTTTTGCCATGATGATCCAGGAGAAGGAAGCCAAAGCGGCTGGAAAGTTTCGTGGCTTCCGCGTGGAGATTCTGTGCAATGCTCTAGAGGATCTGGATCTGCTGCTGCCACGCTTGGGCAAAACCCTGGAGGCCTTCGACCAGACGTTTTTTTGGCACAGTTTTCTTGAACATATTGGGGAACTACTCTAAGTTTTCATGGCAAGTTCAGTAGGAAAGGTAGTGATGCGCCATCAAATTTGGGAGGGTACCATATTTTTTGACCAATCAATCATCTGTTTTTCAATCTCTCAATGGGTAGGGGTCAACATTTAGGACCCAAGGTTGCCAAAAGGCCACAACTTTTCTAATTTTGATAAAGCGCCAGCTCATTTTTGCTGTACCCAAGTTTGACACCTATCACAATTTATTTTTTTGGCGCCTTTCTTTGGGACCAAGTAAGGATGGGTTGCTGTTTGGTGTTTCAATGTGTACATGGATTTCCGCAGGTGTAAGAGAGTTGCAAAAACAGGTGTGGACCAGACGTTGCTCAATCGACGATTCATTTTATCAATCCACGTTAAGTTTTGACAATCAGGAACTATGAGGATTGGATATTACACATTTATCGTGGATTCAGCGGCGTCTCGTGTGGACAGCCAAAAGGACTCACTTCTTCCAACAAAAACAATAAAAATCATCAAGTGGTGGATTCCAGTCAACAGTTTCTTGTTGCAGAAATTATGTCTTTAGTCTTCTCAAGGGCCAAGAAGGCGAAAACTTGATCCGCCCTTGATCCCTTACGGCTACGGTGAAGGTGGTGGAAGATTTCACCTGGAACGAACTGGAGCTGGTGGTTGGAGATGCCATGATTCGGGAGGGCGCCTTTTCACATTTGAAGCCCAGTGCCTGGGAGTTCCGGCTGGTGGTTGGTTGTTGGTTCCTTGGTGGGGTGGCTCGGGCGGTTAGGTGCTGAGAGTCAATGGAAATTCTTTGGAGAATCTGAGATGCATGTTTCTTGTTTTTTTTGAAAAGGTCAGAAGATGATGAAGTGAATATCTGCAAGCTTCCAAGTGTGCGAATTTTCAGGAGCAAATCAGTGGCTTGGATTTTTTTCAGGCTTCTAAAGAACACAGAAAAACCATTCCTGTATTATTTGGGACTATTTGATGGTGATCTTATGTGATGTACTATAGTTACTAAAGTGCTGACTCAGTGCTGACGTTTTGGATGCCATCTCAGGCGACTTCAACAAGGACTTCTTGCAGACCTATGGTCGATTGCCTCCTGAGCCGGAGGCTGAAGGAAGTGAAGGATCACTGGAAATCAGCAGGGGGGGTCTCGATGACTTTTATGCCTATTGATCAAACATGTGAGCAAGTTCTGCCCCAAGATGGATCGGAATCATGAAAATGAATGGTTTCATGTAGAGAAGGAACATTTTTTACAACGTACTTTATATAGCTGTTGGCTTCTGCTTCTCTTTCTACAGGCTTTATATACGTTTGACTTTCTTGCTACTGAAGCTTGTATATCCCAGACATGTGCATAGTCGTAACCATAAAGATGGATATGGTCTCCGCTGAGCAGCTAGGCTGTCCATGGTTTCATTTTCCATATCCAGAAAGATAGTGGCAGAAAACTGATTGGATCTGTTTGGATAATTTTGACTTTCAAATAGGTGACGCAACCCAGCGAATGGACATGATGGGTGGATCTCATTGCTTGCCACCCCATTGCTGCTAACGACGAGGAGCCGAAAAGGAAGAGCCTTCTTTTCCAGTCATCCTTGGGTTCGCACGAGGACGAACCTATGGCAGTTGAGCCAATCCTGTCTGGTTCAGTTTTTCAGCAAAGTGGTGGTGTTAAAATGCAATTTCTACCTGTATTTTCCAATGGAAATGTAGCACAAACAGCAGACCGAAGCGTGATATGAAGATAAGACTGGTTTTTGTGGCGTTCCGAGGATTTATTCGAGGTCAAGTGGAATCGGATTTTCCCGACCCCTCATGATTTATTAGTCGCCAACTGCGGCAAGCGTTGCTGAGTTCGGTGATCGGTGCAGGTTTCAATCGCGTGATTCCCATCAAGGCCATTGCAGTCAGGGCCTCAAGTCCCGCAATGACGAACCGGATGGAAGCAGAATGTTGTTGAAAATGGGTCATCCTTCGGATATTATACGATATTATACTTTGATAATCTTTGATATACTTTGCATCTTCTTTGTTGGATAAATCCATTGAAGGTGATAAAGAGCCAGTTGAATGGCAGATATTTTTGATCAGCTAGGTTCCAGCTGGTCATGATCTTGTCCTGACATCCTCATAACCTGCGGTCAATTCCTGCCACTAAGGATGTCCTTCTGAAAGATGTGGGCGGACTGAGAGCGTCGCTTGCTGAAAGTTGGACGTCTTTAAATTGGGTTGCTTTTTCTACAGCAGCGCTTGAAATCTAGTTCCCAAAGTTCGGCTGCTTTTCATACCGGTGGCTTTCCGCTGTTGGAGCACTCAGGAAAGATGGACGTTGGCCGTTTGTCGTAGATCCATCTGGTCGCACATCCACTTTCATCAAGTACACAGGAGCCGCTGTCCCTTGGAGAACGGAAATCAGAAGTGCTGGAGCGTATTTGCTGGATGATTTCGAATGTAGGGTTTGTCTGTCAATATTGTTAATGCCGGAGGAAAGTCCGTGCTCAAAACGACTTTCTGAATAACTTCCTTCAAACCTCACAGACAGTCAGAGACGGATTCATTTCCTGAAGCCTAGCGTGCTCTCAAAACGGGGCTTGTGAACATCTTTTTGCTGACATGTTTGACACCGGCACCTCTCCCCAACTGCGGCCTTGTTGTGCGGCAGAGTCCCCAGCCAGGTTTACACCATCGTGGAACTGCAGGAGCCGTAGGGATGGAGCTGCTGCAAACCTGCTCTGCAGGGGGGGCCCGCCACAGGACATGGATTCGATGCGGCTGCGGCGCGCTTTTTTGAGTCTTGATTGCCCTGATGGCAGTTTGTGGTTACCCCTCCTGGCCGGTGGGTCGGAGGAAGGAGCAATCATGGGGCCTACCAGGCCCTGACAGTTGTGGTTTTTGTTGCCTTTTAGTCCCCAGTCATTGGGCTATTAACCCCAGTCAGAAGTGGGTGAGCCACCACCCAGGAATTCTTTGCTGAATGGAGGTGTCATTTTGATCGACTTGGGCGGCTTCGCTTCTCGGCAAGCATGTTGCAGGTTGTCCTCAGTTGTTGCTGAAGATGGTTTCCTTACGATTTGGCCATGACAGAAGTGTGTGTGTGTATGTATATATATATAATGTATTGTATTATATATATAATGTATTGTATTATATATAATAATATATATATATATAAATAATATATATATATATATATATCTCTATATATAAATAATATATATATATATAAATAATATATATATATATACAATTATATATATATATTCATATTATTATATATAGGCACGGGCACAATCACAAACTTTAGCTAGCCTGTAGCTCTGTTCGCAAGCGCCTGTATTTTCAGGAATATCCAATCAGGATACATTCTCTCGCTACCATGTCCGCCTCGCCAACTGCATTCATCTTGTACTTGGACAACCTTTTGGCGACCGCTTCTGGATCATATTCCAGCTCCTGCTTGTGTTCCGGCCATTTTTTTTTCTATCGCCATTTTCTCCCGATTTTCTAGACTTGTCGTATTCAACTCCTTCCTCAAGGCTGTGGGGGAAGCCTTGCCCATTTGCTTCTACATCACATTCCCTGTTTTTGCTGGAATCAGTACCAATTCAACCATCTCTTACTTGCTCTCATTGGGGCATGTTTTCGGATACACATCCTGTTCCTGTTTGCAATTCCAACCAATTTTTCTACTTCATCGACATCTTCTCCAACTCCAAGCTGAAGACTGGGAAGTCTTCCACATCAACTCCTACCTTTCGCTCTCTTCCCTTGCTGGAATGTATATTCCTCGTCATTCTGTATCGAAGGGGCTGTGGCAATTTCCACTTTACTGTTCTCTCGGGACAGAAAGTGGCCACAGGCCCTTGTTTCCGCGCGCGCTTCGTCACACCATCTTTCACACACACACACAACTTTGTCACACACAACTTTGTCCCACACACACAACTTTATCACACACAACTTTGTCACACACAACTTTGTCACACACCATCTTTCACACACACACACAACTTTGTCTCACACATTTTTGTCACACACGCACATAACTTGGTCACACACTATCTTACACACAACTTTGTCACACACACACACCCACACCATCTTACACACAACTTTGTCACACACACACAACTTTATCACACACAACTTTGTCACACACCATCTTTCACACACACAACTTTGTCTCACACATTTTTGTCACACACGCACATAACTTGGTCACACACTATCTTACACACAACTTTGTCACAAACAACTTTGTCACACACAACTTTGTCACACACACACACACCATCTTACACACAACTTTGTCACACACACACACAACTTTGTCACACACAACTTTGTCAAGCACACAATCTTTCACACACAACTTTGTCACACACAACTTTGTCACACACAACTTTGTCAAACACACAATCTTTCACACACAACATTGTCACACACACAACTTTGTCACACACAACTTTGTCACACACAACTTTGTCACACACAACTTTGTCACACACAACTTTGTCACACACAACTTTGTCACACACAACTCTTCACATACAACTTTTAAAATGATCGAGCCTCCACCATCTCCTTTGTCCTTTCTTCTTTCTCCGTGCCGCTTCAACCACTTTTTCTGACTGTTGGAAGAAGTTGACTTGTGGGGTTATTCGGTCCTTTAATTTTTTTTAATTAAGCTCTTTCCACTTCAATTTTTGGGGCCAAGACAGAAATTCTCCCTGAGGCACATCTATTCTATATCCTTGCAGTTAAAGCTCGCAGGGGCAACCAGACGAGTGCCTCGAGACCACGGCCTCTCCTGCGTTTCTACTTTCTCCTTTCTTAATGTCACTCCTCTCCAAAGCAAGAGACAAGTGGTCAGGAACCCTGCTGCGCGCTACGGGACCGAATTCCTCATGGTTTGTTTGTCCTTTGTGATTTTTATAGCTCTGTTGTTTCGGTATGTTTCGGTGGTTTTGGGGTTCACCCACTCAAAACCACCGGGTCCTGTGTAACAGGTACTGGTTAGTAGCTTATCCTTCAGCCCAAATTCTCCTGGTTTATTCTCTTTATCCTTTTCCATTTTTTCACCATTTGGCTGATGGAAAACTGCTGCTGACGTGTAGTTCGACATGAACTGCACATTGCCGTGGAAAATGCAATATTACATATTTGATATATGTCTTGTTTAATGATGTGGAGGGAGTTTCGTGAGACTTTGCCATGATGCGACGAAGCACCTTTTTGATTGATTCCAGAAACATGCGACAGAAATCTAGTCCAAGGACATGAAAATTGATGTGGTGGCAGACAAGTTCAACGATCTGGAGAAGGGCCTCTTTGCAAAGCTGTTGGATCGTTCTGTCCTGCCCCTTGCCGGCGCATTTTTGGCCCTCCAATGCGACGAGACAACTTCCCGGCTGTGTCTGTACACATGTATTCATGCGTACATGTTCAGATATACATGTTTTTTTTTAAAAAAATTATATATATATATACACATAAATTTTCACTATAGGTATAGGTATGTATATATAGAAATATACACACTCACATGGTATATACATATATATATGGTTTAGTGCAAAAGGAGTTTTCGAAATCTAAGCTCCGCTTTACGGAAAACAATAGTACTAGTTTGTGCGACGGGTGCGGTCCCGATTTTGCGTTCCTTTCGCTCTTGCCACTGTAAAGTCGACTTTCAAGTAGGTCAATGAACTGATGGACTGCGCTGTGCCAATGTGTTTGGTGAAAAGACAAGAGGTGTCAAGGAGAAGGAGAGAGTGGGGTAAAGGAACTAGTGAAGTGAGGAGAGTAGGGAAAAAAAATTGTCAGGAGAGAAAAATGTGTCAGGTCTCGGGCTCCAGAGCTGTCAACAGCAAGGACTGTCAAAATTCAAAGATGACAAGCGCAAACCGGATCGAGAGAAAGTGGCATCAGACAAGGATGGCAAGAGAAAGAAAGACATGTCAGGGAAATCATTCCAAGAGATGACAACCAGGCGGTCAGGCTTCGTTCCTAGAGCCTCCCCTTTTCATTACAGGTTTCCCCCGGAAACTTCCGTCACCCGGCTTGGGCTCTACTGGTATATTCAACACCCGAGATCGCTCCCAAATCTCCGTTCTGGCATGATAGCACTGACCCCTCCCAGTGGCAGCTGTGAGGTATTCTTATCTCTTTCCTCGTCGCTTCAAAACCCTGATAAGCAAGGACTGCAGAGCTGAGATCTGGGCTGGGCATTGGGATGATTCTAATCCCAGCTGATGTTGGTTGGTTTGGGTATGTTTGGACCTTAGTTGCACAGTCATCTTCCAGTTGTCAGGAGGATCAACCCCACTGGGAACAACCCCACTGGGAACAGTGGAATTGGCCTCATTGTAGGACACCAGTGATATCGCAAGCAACTTGTGGTTGGAAATTCACATCACAAAAGGACACATCTATGGAAGCAGACCGAATGAAATGGGATTGCAAATGTGCCATGTACAGGTGTTCTAGATGCAAAGGAATTGTCAGTTCATCACACCAATGCATTTTCATTCATCATACCCCCTTGAAAGCTAACATGGATCCCCCCAAAAGTTGACAAAAAATCTTCTTGGACGGCAATCTTTAGGCTCGATGTTGAATTGTCCACCAGGAGCTTGCGCAAGATTTTCAGATCAGTTCCTGCGATCAATTTTGGGAGTTTGGGCTGGCTCCAATGGTCTCTTTCTAAAGCAGGTTTGGCACCAACAAAAATGGTTGTGTAGTTCCTTAGTCTTCATATTGAGCCACTCTTCTAGGTTTTTCTGTTTGTTTCCACTTCAGCCAAGTTGTGGCATCACAAATTCATCCCCAAACTTTGGAAAAAACGAGGTTTGGTCCTTGAGACGACTGAGGTGCCTTCCTAGATCACTCGCTTGAAAAGTCTCTTGGAGCTGTTGAATGCGGATGTCCAAGGGATACTGTGAATGTGAGTCATTTCGTGGCTTTTATGAACTTGAATATTGGATACCACATATACCACGGGATAAACGCGAATCTTTGGAGAGAGATTTTCAGCAGCTCGCCAGAGACGCTGGAGGCGCCTGATGGCCTGAGGTTCGTCTTCGGATTTGTGACATCCTTCCGTGACCCGGATTTGGACTTCGCCAAGCAGTTACTTGGCAGTGGCAGCCAAATGCACGGGTTCTCTCAACAAGGCTTCAAGTTGATTCAAGTGGAAAATAGCAGTGAATCTAGAATAGATCCATTTTTTTGGGCCATGCAGATATCAATGGATCTATGATCTGTAAAGAAAAGACTTGAAATCCCCCGGAGCCTTTCCTTCAATCGATGCACCCGAACATCGGGAAGGGAGGAACTGATCCGACTGCCCCAGCTGAGGTTTTACACCATCAATGTGAAAAATGACGATGATGCTGATGCCTGAAGCTTTCAACTTGGCTTACTGATCATTACCATATGACTGGGGGAATAGCAACCCATTACATTTTAGGGTATGTGGGGTTCCACAATTTTGACCCATCCCCATATGCGCTTTCAAAGGGGATGAGTCAAAACTTATGATCCCATAACGGATGGGGACGTAACTGGAGCATTCTCCAGCCATTTTGGTGTGAACGCTACGTAATCCCATGGATCACTGTTTGACCCCTTCCAGTCCACTCCCAGAGGAGATGTCTCACAGCTGCAGGGTCAGGGCCCTTTGGTGGTCCCTCGTGCGATCTGAAAAGGTTGGGGGCAGGCTGAATCCAACGGAAATTGCACTCTTTCACAAAAATACGATGAATAGGTTTGATACTTGGAGAAACCCTTTTTTTCCCATCATTGTGTTTCGATTGGTGGCCTAGGGACTTTCGAAATGGGGAAGAAATCCAGCCGACTTCTTCCGAGCTCCAAACGAAAACCACGCGGCCAGTCCACCCAGCCGCAGGTCTGCGTCCACACGTCGGCACCCGCGCACCTCCGCGGATGTGTGCGTGGACCCAGTGGTTTCAAAGGTGGATCTGGGATGAAAACATCCCCACTGGGGACGATGATCATCCCAATGACTACTCGTTTTACCTATTTTTCGATGTTGAAACCACGGCCAGGATAGCCAGGAAAAGAAATGATTATTGTTGTAGTCTTGATGAGTAAAGATTAGAACAAAGCACCAAGAGTGCAGGATGCAATCACTACCATTTGGGAATGCTAGGAAGCTAAAGAAACCTGTGGACACTCCAAACCTTAAGAGCCGTTTTCGGCTTAATCAAGGGTTACAAAGGTGATGAGAGTTTAAAGCTTGTGGAGTACCTTTCCCATCCTTTCCCTGCGCGTATCTTGATATCCAAGGAGTCCAAGGAGTTCCAAGGAGTTCCAAGGAGGTCTCAGGTCGTTTCCCGGCGGAGCCAAGCCGAGGTCCTCTGCTCTTCCAACGCCCAATGTGCTTCCGAACCCCAGCGTGACGCCGGTGGAGGGCTCAGATGAGAGAAGACGTTGAGCCGGTTGAACGGTTGAAGGTATGAGGCGTTTCGGCGGATGCAGAACAGCAGAGGATTTGCGGCAAAAAATTGGGTATCCCCATCAAAGTTTCGCTTTGCTTTGGAGCTGGGATGGGTCAACATATGCATTGCTTGAAAGATTGCACTGCTTGCTCGCTCTGCAGCATCCAGCTCGGCTCTCAAACTCGTCTCAGCGCTCAGATTGGCATCCCTTGGCAGAGATGTTGCCTGGCTGGACGAGTCGAAATTGGTTGTGGGGTTACAAATGAGCACCAGCATTGACCTTTTGGTATTTCTTGAGACAAACTAAGTCGGGGAATCCTGCAGACTGCAGCGTGAAGGTTCTTAAACTCCAATCCGTCTTGGGTGCATGTTTGACCTACGCAATGTGTTGAGCAAATCTGTCCATAGATCACGCTGCAAGAAGTCCAGGGAATGGACTTGGAATCAGTATACAGTATTCCCATTCCTTGCCGAAGGGTTCCTCAATACCTTTCGAAAGAACGCCTTGATCAAGTCGGAGGTGCAAGGTGACAACAAAAAGTTTTGATGAGCAACTGGCGACCTATCTGAAGCCGTCTGAAGCCTTGCCACATCATTGGAAGATGCACATCATTGGTTTAGAAGAGTTATAACTATGACTATCAACATCAGTCCAAAGACTCCCAACAGCATCTTCACTCCATCTGAGGTCCAAAGCCGTCTACTGCGCTGCGCTTGTTCTTGTCGGTCTCCTCGTGGTGTACCATGAGACCCTGGGATTCGTTGCGAGTCCCGGGTCCTTGGTGGTTCCAGCGCATGCCACCGTGAGCTCGGTGAACCGCCCCGCGGCTCCAGCTACCGCTGAAGCTGCCCAAGTCGGTGTGGCGACAGGTGGGGCTGCGGTCATGATGTCCAGTGACCAGTGCTGGGTTTGGTGACCAGGGTGGTTTATACTCTAGGAATAGCAGGCTGGTTTACTGGAAACAGCTCGGAAGGATGTAAAAAAACAAGAAAACATCAACTATCCTCAATTTTACCAGAAATGGGTCCTACCAACTGTTGGGTTTGCCAAATTATTCTAGAGTCTTCACTGGAGGAGTCTTCCTGCCACTGTTCCTCCTGTAGGTGTGTACGGCCTGGCTCTGCTTGCCACCGCCGCTGCTGGCGTCCTGGCTCGTGCCAAGCGCTCCAAAGTCATGGTGCATAACTACGGCGGCTTCAAGCCCGTGGTGGGCGACCGCTACCAGTATACCAACGATTGTGGGTACTTGGCGGATGGCACACCCATCAGCACCGCTGGTAACAATTCCCTTCGCACCTCCTATGACCCACCGGTTGCACCCCCAGCTCCACCGGTGGCTGTCGCGGCACCCGTGGCGCCAGTGGCGCCAGTGGCGCCAGCACCTGTGGCACCTCCTACACCTGTGGCAGCACCAATACCCGCCACAGGTGGAGATGCATTGTACGGCATCAAGTTTGACTACTGCAAGCAGAAGGATGCTTACGCAGACTTGGAGTTTCTGAACGACGTGGGTTGCTCGGCGGATAATGTGTTGTTTTCATAAAGCGACTGGTGCTATCAGTTGTCGACGTTCATTGTGTGGTGGTCTGAAAGCAAGAGCTCAGTAAGAGCTGCCTAGAAACTTTCAGCAACATTGTGCAGCATGTGATTTGTTCATGGTTTGCTCATCAAGCGGCATAGGCTACCTGCCAGATGGCACACCGATGAACATGGCCGGAAACTGCATCAACCACCCCAAGAGGATTCAGCCAGATCCGCACACACCAGGGTCGCCATTGCCACGGGCCAACTTGCACAACTCTGTTGGCTACCTCCCAGATGGCACAGCCATGAACGCAGCAGGCAATGCTTTGAACCACCCTGAGAGGATGCAGCCAGACATGCACGTGGCTGGATCACCTTTGCCAAAGTCTGTGTACTATGCGGACGTGGGCTACTTTGCGGATGGCACCGACTTGACAGCTGCAGGAAACAACTTTAAGGCAGCTCCCCCTGTTGCCTTTCCCACTCCTGCTGCGCCCTCAACACCTGTTGTGACTTCAACACCTGTTGCTGCAAGCTTTGTCGGTTCGACCGGTGATGCATTGTACGGCACCAAGTTTGACTACTGCAAGCAGAAGGATGCTTACGCAGACTTGGAGTTTCTGAACGACGTGGGTTGCTTGGCGGATAATGTGTTGTTTTCATAAAGCGACTGGTGCTATCAGTTGTCAACGTTCATTGTGTGGTGGTCTGAAAGCAAGAGCTCAGTAAGAACTGCCTAGAAACTTTCAGCAACATTGTGCAGCATGTGATTTTTTCATGGTTTGCTCATCAAGCGGCATAGGCTACCTGCCAGATGGCACACCGATGAACATGGCCGGAAACTGCATCAACCACCCCGAGAGGATTCAGCCAGATCCGCACACACCAGGGTCGCCATTGCCACGGGCCAACTTGCACAACTCTGTTGGCTACCTCCCAGATGGCACAGCCATGAACGCAGCAGGCAATGCTTTGAACCACCCTGAGAGGATGCAGCCAGACATGCACGTGGCTGGATCACCTTTGCCAAAGTCTGTGTACTATGCGGACGTGGGCTACTTTGCGGATGGCACCGACTTGACAGCTGCAGGAAACAACTTTGCAAAGGCACCAAAGGGATTGGTTACGTGCCATAGAAACAGTATTGCTCAAGTGCTTGCAACATATTGATGCCACTGGCATGTCTCATGTTTTTTTCAATAGGTAATTTACTAGTAGCAGTGTACAAATAGAAGATGATGATACAGCGTAATGCTATCAGTATTAAGGGCATCCTGATATGAGTCTGTATGGGTATGGGTATTGGTCAGTTACATGGTGATTATCCCTCAAAATGACAGGGATATCAGATTATGACCATATAAATAAGTATGTGTCAAGAGTCGATTCCCCCGCATCATATGGCGCGGTGTTTCCACATTTGTTCTAGTAAAAAAAATGGTATGATCGTATGATTTGCGAAGACTCATCACTAAGCATTCCCGAAAATATATGTTTCCCAGACCTGGACGAAGGGCAGCTTTTCAAGACGTCTCTAGATTTGCTTCAAAAAGCCAGGTTATCTTGACGCGAAATCCATGGTTCCCAGGCCATTCCCCAAGCAAGTTTAATGCAATTTGCATCAATTTGCCAGTATTACTGCAGACTTTCACGGATAAGGTCCTTTTCCAAATCACCACCAAGAGAACATGATCTTTCAAGATCCCTGGGCATATTTGCGAATCTATACTAAACAAAGTTTCCCAGAATTGAAGGGATCATTACACAGAAACCTCCCACAGCTAGTGGGCAAAGAAATATCAAGCCACATTGGCTTTCCTGTATTTTTTCCCTTAAACCCATCCATTGATAGTTCACAGAGCCCAACACAGGTGCCTGCTGTGGCAGCCACCACTGCGCCAAAATCCCCTGCAGCCGCTGCGGCCTTCGCGGGCACATCTGCCACTTGGGTCCGCAGATGGGCTAGTCATTTTGTGTGTTAAAAATCAATGGACTATGACTGTAATTTTAGACATTTATACATAATATAATAATATAATAATATAATAATATAATAATATAATAATATAATAATATAATAATATAATAATATAATAATATAATATATAATATATATATAATAATAATATAATAATATAATAATATAATAATATAATAATATAATAATATAATAATATAATAATATAATAATATAATAATATAATATATATATATATAATGTATATATATATATGTATATTTGTAATAATATATGTATATGATGTAATAATATATATATATTATATACATATTTCGGTGATCTCTATTTTTTTGCGTCCTGAAGTTGGACCAACTACCAGTAGCTACCCCGAAAAGGGGATGCGTGAAGAATTGGACTTACAATCACCGGCCATGCCAGGTGCCTCCATAATGGGCCCCACCGAGGTGCCAAAGCCGACCTTCCGCCAGCCTGGTGGCTTCGCATATTCCGTGCAGAAGGCACCATTTTTTTTTTCCTCCAGCAAACCACCAAAAAAGCACATGAAACAGCAAGGAAGTAGAGTTATGTGGGGTTCAATGATTTGTACATTCATTTGGTTTGCACATGTGGTCACTCTTGTTGGTTCAAGGTTCGCTTTTCTGGGGGAGATTTGAGTACTGCAACATACTGGATGGAAGAAACTTCAAGAAAACGGCCCGATAGCAGAGAAACAGTGCCTCAACGCAAGACATTGCAGGATGTGTATGCCGACTTCCTCTTCTCCAACGATGCTCCTTGCAGTCGGGGCTAAGGGTGTAAGTGAGGCCATGGTAGTTGAATGATTCCTGAATATCTGAGGACATTGTGAGGGACATGTACAAAAAAAACATCTGGCAAGTTAAGCTGGTAGATAAACAGCAGCATTTTCAACATGCTATAGGTAAATAATTCATCTTCAAGGAGGTGGCTTTTTGTGGATTGCCAGAACGTACAGTATATTATGTAATTTCTTTTGCACTCAGTTGTGTCCGCACTCCGGCTTGAATCTGTAGAACACGTAGAATCCTCACATTTGGAACTTCTTCAGCTATAACTTACGGGAGAGTTAGACAGTTTAGCACTCTGATAAGACTGACTTCAGGTTGGCTACTTGCCAGACGGAACTCCCATGAACAAGGTGGATGGCTGGAACGGGAAGGGATTTTCATGTTGGTTTTCATGATTCGGCTTGATGGGCCTGGGGACGGGAAATCTGGAGTGATGGGCACTGCTGATTTCCAGCTCAGTCCGATTACTTTTCTGGATGTTGATTCCCAGCAGTCCTAGCATCTATTAATTCATTGATAATCTAATTGTTTGTCAACTGCAGTGCGAGGCCGGCAACGCCATGAACCACCCAGAGAGGATCCAGGCGGATCCACATACCAACGGTGGCTTGGAAAGCAAGGAGAGTCCATTTGGGATACACTATGCAGATGTACACAGTATAGTTGGATGGAGCAAAGCCATTTTCTGTATTCTGGCGGGACGAACATCGGAGCTATACCAGCTATTTTGGGGTTTACCAGGGTACCAGTGGGCACCAGTGGTTTGACCGTCATTTGGTGCCAGAGGTTCGCCTTTACCCCGTGCGAACTTCGCCAACGACGTGGGCTACTTGCCGGATGGAACGCCCATGAACCGCGCGGGGAATGCGCTCAACCATCCAGACACTTGGCAGCGCTTCGAAAACCCAGCTTTCGCACGCAGATGTTTAATGGAACAAGAAATCGGACACATCGATTCAACACTTTTATTGTTGGAATATGTTTTAATCCAATTTATTCTTTGTTCATTTCACTCAGCTACAGAGCATGCTGTTGGAATCGTGGCGTGCCCTTTCTTTGGGGCGCTTTGGAGCTGTGAGTGATTCGCAGGTCTAGTTGCACATCACCCCAAAAATCCAATCAATCCAACCAATCCAACTAATCCAAGCATTCGTTTCATTGATGCCCCTTTCCTACCTTTTTTTTACAACCGGTGGCAACTGGTAAATGGTGGCCAACGGTATGCAGCACCAGCGAAAACCAGTCTTTCCCCACTTCAAGACATGATTGGTTCTTTTTCAGCATCATTAAACATGTGGAGGTTTCCTAAAATGGGGGTACCCCTAAATCACCAATTTTGATAGGATTTTCCATTATCAACTATCTGGGAATCCCCCATTTATGGAAACACCCATGTGGGCTGTTCCTCTATCCATGGCTTTCAGGAGCGCCTGGCAGCCGATGCTCATGCCCCTGGTTCGTCTCTGCCCGCCTCCCAGTATGCTGCGGATGTCGGATACCTGGTGGATGGCACGCCACTGGATGGTGCGGGCAACAATGCCGTGCACTGAAGCGGTCAACACGACCTGCAGGGCACGGATTTCAGTTGCTCTGCACGCGTTTCAAGTTCCAGGCATTCCCTCAGTTGCTGCTAGTGGAAGTAGCCAATTAGATCCAATCAGATTCAATTCGCTGGTCACAGATGCCATGTCCGAAGCAACAGGGAAGCCTTCGCAGGATGATTTTGCCTCCTGCTATGCACACAGCGCTCTGCGCCACTGAAGCTTAGTCACGTTACGCCCTCGAGGGTTGCAGCCTCGAGGGACGTCCTCACTAGATTTGCTGCATCTGCTTTGAAATTGCAGTCAGTGGCTTCACTGTTCGATGTGTGCATGCATACCTAGTTGGTGGTTTCAACTATTTTCATTTCCAACCATATTTGGGAGGATGATAGTGGAACGCGATTCATATTGTTCAAACGGGTTGAAACGGGTTGAAACCACCAGCCAGATACGATACTTTGTAGATTCGGGTTCCTTCTGTCCAGCGCCCGTGCGCTGGCACACGAATGGCACCTGTGGGATTCTCCCTGGGGGTTTCGATTGTTTTCTTTCACACAATGAGGGGGATACCGGGATACCTTGGATACCCCAAAATGGCAATTTTGATAGATAGATTTTATTGGGGAGAATGAATAGCATCTCTTTTTTACTTAGTTCCTTCCGTCTATCCGCTGTGTCATGTATGGGGCATTCTGCCCGTAGGTTGCATTTTCAGGGACCCTTCTTGGTTTAGACTTTAGACCACTATTCAAACAGTGTTGAGGAAAAATGTATTATGCCCAACAGTATCCCCAGAAGCATCCCACGCGTCATAGCAAAATGCATCCGATGTATTGGGCTTGTGTCAGAACGAACACGACCTGATGGCATGGATTCCAAGAGTTATTCATCCCAAATAAACCGCAACCAAATGCCTATGCAGGCAAGAATATGTCTTTTCTTTCTATTTGAGATACTGCCTGCTAGCTGCAGATGTTTTATCATGTTTTATCATCCAGGTTTGGACATCCTACATGTGAACCTATCTAAATCAGTCTATATCTACGGATGTATTCTTGGCAACGGCGGAAGTCATCGAACATAGATGACATAGTTACGTTGGTTTCAGCTTCTGACACACGGCTTCTGAAGCGAACACAGCTTCAGCCCCGCGATGACCGGAGCCGACTTTGGTGGTACGTGAAGTCCACGAGTCTGGCGGCTCGCCGCTTGCTGAGTCGAGCGCGATGCAGTTAGGTCTAGGTGAAGCGACTCAGCTTCCACTGGCAGCTGGCGCTTTGGTTGGAGCAGTTTCTGGGGACACTTCCACCATGGATAATTATGGAGAACTAATGATAACTGTGGGTTTCTAGTGT